CCCCCCCCCCTAAAAAAACAACATATGTGCTACTTTGTTACTTTGACACCCAATAAAGAGGCCCAAGTTGAAATGAAAAAATTGCTCCAATGTAAAAGAGGTACACAGGTATGAGAGCTGAAGTGGTTAAGGTGGAACAAAAGGCTCCTTTTTAAAAATTGCTAGCAGGCAGGCTTTTATTGCAGAAGTGACTCTGTATGTTTCTTCTGCAATAAAAACTAATTTGCTGGTTGCCAGCAATTTATTTCTAGCTGTACATTTATCTGCACATGTGCAGCTAAGTGTACAAACTTGAGATGCTGTGGATGCCAGAACAAAAAAAAGCTCCCATGTTCATGACAATTAAGTTGGCTAAAAACCCCAGACCCAGAAAACGACTGGGAGAAGATGTCAGTGGCAGTGATAGAGCGAGGAGGAAGATCGCAGACATGGCACCTCTGGAGAAGGGTGCTTTGGGAGGTAAGTGTGCCATAATTATGCTATCCATACTTGCGCATTATGAAACGAGTCCTTTATTGCCCGAAAAATGGAGTTCTGCTTTTTTTTTTTTTACACTGTGCAGTAACAAACTAGGGGGTCTATTCACAAAGCTGCCGAAGGATCTAGCCGTAGCTTCGGCCAATCCTTCAGCTAGCTACGGCCCCAGGACCCCTTCGGTTCAGTAGAACCGAAGGGGTGCTGTACGGGTTATTCACTATAGCCCGTACAGCTCCCGAACGTGGCCGAGCGGCTCAGTTGAGCCGAACGCATATGCATCGGCTCGGCTGAGCCGTGCTGAAAGCCTGCTTCTGACAGCTGGGCAAATTAAAATAGCCAATAGTAATGTAGCAATGTATTTCAATGGGAATGTTTTTTTTCTTTCTATTCTGACATCGCTCCGTGTCAGAATAAAGAAAAAAAAAACAGCAGTGTTTCTCTCCTTGGCGGCCGGGAGCGGGAGGCTCCCAGAGTGCAATCCAGGGTTTAGCTCTACTTTAAGGGAAACGTTTGTTTCCTATGTTGAATATATGTAGTTACAAATGTTAAAACCTTTTTCTATTGACATAATAATATCTTCATTTGTGGTATGAATACTAACATAGGCTACACTGCTCAGCAGAAGTTTACCACAAATTTATAAGAATGTCGGTACTCAGATTCCTCTGTACAATCAATATAGTATCTGTTTGAGGAAATGTTTAGAAGCATACTGTTAAAACCTGGACTTATGTTGGCCTTGGGGTTCGCACTGCTCTTTTGTACCTCTCATGCACTATAACACAGATATAACCCTAACTTTATTTCTCATTACCATTTTATTATGAACTGTGGTAGAACTGAATCCAAAAGTCTTTTTTTAAGCTTTGAATAGAGTAGTGGAGGGTTATAACTAGGGATGCTCCGATATATCGGCCGAAAATTGCACTTTTGGCATAATGCCGAAAGTGCCATTTTGCTGCCGATACATTGGCGCATCCCTGCTTTCTTTCCTCCCCGCTGGGCGCTGCTCTGTGTCCCAGAGGGGAGAAGAGAAAGTGGTAGCCGGCCGAGTGCTGCGGTGGAGAGCGCTGTGAGTGGCCGGCATCTCCTCTCACACCGCTCTGCCGCCTATCACAGTCCGGCAGAGCGATGTGTGGGCGGAGACAGCGCTGTCACACTAGGCTGGGCTTTCCTCTCTACAGCGCTCGATCAGCCTCCTGTGATAGCGTGTCAGAGAGAAAAGCAAGGTAATCCTGTCAGCCTTTTTTTGCCACCTGCATCCCATTGGGGGGATTTCCCTTTACTTCCTTATCTGAGAGCCACAACAATCTCTCTAAAGTGAGAGAAATCCCTGGTGACCAGCCGGGTCACCAGAACTAGTGTCCCCATTAGAAGAGTTCCCATCTATTCTTCTAATGACAATACAAAATGTAGTATTTTCTTTCACTTTCAGTGATAACAGTCAAGAGGACCAATAGAGAGACCGAATCTCCCTAACAAGGACACAGACAGCAATAAAAACCTGGCAGGTGTTCTAATACATCTCCACTCTATCCAAAACTAGAAAAAAAGTTTTGTCTTCAGTTGCACGTTAATTTGAGCTCTGCCTTGGTTTGGCCTTACATGCTAATCAAGTCATATGATGGGTTCTAATATAGATTTTAGAATGGTTTTAGTCATATTCAATCCCTTTCCTCTATACAGGTACTCTATAGTTGGCCAGCTGTAAATTGGCCCCAAGAGAATGCAGATTCTGCACTGAGACCTCCTATTCCTGTACACTCCTGGCTCCTATTTTGTATATGCATTTCTAAGAAAAGACACACATCATTCAGATTTTTAATTGTATTCTTCTTTATCCTGTATTTACAGCATCAAAATGCATTGTACAAATCAGCATAGAAATATTGACTCACCTTTTGATCAGCATAACTGCAAAGTAATCAGTTGTGTGAATACTTTGATATCCATTGCCTGTTTCAGCTTTATTTGCCTGGAAAAAGAGGAAACACTTAAAATGAAATTTGAATGGTTTCTTTTATTAGTATTTACAAGTTTGAAAACTGGTTGTATTAGCATATTTGCTTCCATTCAACTGTGTTTACAGGCTGGTCTGACTATCATGGCATTCCAGCAATGCCATCAGACTTTTTTTTTAGAACTCTGTCTAATCAGAGATCCCTCAGGGCTGTGTGAGCTGTTAGAAGTGTCTATGCCAGATTCATTTACTGAAAGACATGGGGCATATTAATCAAGCAGTGGATATGACCTTTACTAGGGATGCACCGATACCAATACTAGTATCAGTGCCGATACCAAGTATTTGGGTGAGTACTTGTATTCACCCAAATACTCTGATACCTTCCCCTTATACCAGAACTTCCGGTCAGAGGGGGGATTTCCTCTGACCGGTAGTGCCGCAAGGGAACATGGAGCTGGTGTCTTAGTCAATCAGCAAGGAGCCAGCCAAACAGCATGGAGCTGGCTTCCTGGCCAACCAGTAAGGCCAGGCATTGGGTAATGACCTGCCTCCCAGCTTCCTGATTAGCCAGGAAGCTAGCTCCATGCTGATTGGCTGGGAACCCGGCTTCCCGGCCAATCAACATCGAGCCGGGAAAAAACAGCATGACTGCCAAGAAGACGGGTGGCAGGTAATGATACGCTGCCCGGCTTCCTGATTGCCCGGGAAGCCAGCTCCATGCTAGCAGAAGTACTGGTATTGGTACTCAGCCAGTACCAAAATATAAATATCGGTACTCGTACTCTATACTGAAAAACTGGTATTGGTGCATCTCTAACATTTACCAAACGTTCACTGCAGGCAAATCAATCACAGTAATTTAAAACACATTCACCAGGAAGATACACCCACAGTGAATGTTTGTAAATGTCACATTAACTGCTTTATTAATATACCCCGTCATAGCAGTTCATCACTAGCATGTGAATATTTCTGAAAATCTGTATTCTGTTAAGCCAAGGCAAGTGGAGATACGTTAGGACGATAATTCCTTTATTAAAGACAGGACAATAATTAGGTTGTGTGCAGAAGATTACAAGTTGGATGAAATTCAAAAGGGCCCAGCATTTTACTTACTCATAGCATTAACAAACTTATAGCATATGGACATACTGTATATCTTAAAAATAACCCCAATGTACCAACATTCCATAAAGTTAGCAACATACAATATTGAAAGAAGCTGGGTGTCAGGATACCATGCACAGGCGTCCTCACACCACATGCAGGTACCCATGCAGGATGACCAAATTAATATGCCCACACTGGATAGGGCTATATGCACACAGTTTATGTGTACACAGCAAACAAAACTACAAACCCCATCAACCCCCCACAGGTTTAGCAGTGAAATAACAAAAACCACGGTTGGAACAAACACACCTACAGCCAGGGGAACAGCAACAAGGAGGGGTAACAGGACTGCAGATAGACAGCAGGATACAGGAAGAGTGGTCAGGTAACAAGCCGGGTCGTTTGCAGATTGGTAGCAGGGTTCCGGTAGCAAGGCACAGGACATGGGAGTCAGTCAGGTGCAGGCGACGCAATACTGAGCCAGCTTCCTGACTGCAGAGAGGGCCTAAATACCCTCCCAGGAAGTACCAGGTGATGGGATGATCATTGGCAGCTGGGGCACACCTGCAGGTGAGTACTGGAGCTGCAGGTCCCAGCACCACCCAGTGGTGGTCTGGTTCCTGACAGTTCCTGGCTGCTGGAGACACCCGCAGGCGAGCACAGGAACTGCAGGACCTGGCTCCAGCACCACCTGGGGGTGCTCTGGATCCTGACACTGGGACTTTTAAGGTACTTTGCATTAATCAACCAATAAGTATCTACTAAAATCATATGGACAAAAAGTTTTTATTCCCAAAAAAATTTACAGATTGAAATAGATGTCATGATCTCATACAGTATCATGTTACATAGTTACATAGTATTTGAGGTTGAATAAAGACATTAGTCCATCAAGTCCAACCTATTAGGATCTCATTCTAGGAGTACCCGTACCCCTGTATATTACGGTCCCTTAAGAAATCGTCATTCAAATGTCTCCTACTCTCCTCCCACCAACATATCAATGTATTATCAGTTATACAAACATCAAAAAGTTAATTTTTGTAAGTAGGTATGGGCTTCGGGTTCAGGTTGAATATGTGTTAAACCCAACCCCAGTCTGTACACAGTTTGGTGAACGAGCAAACAAACTGACCATGTTTGGCCACTTTACGCACCCACCTGAACCTCCGGCCTATGTACAGTAGCAGTCTGTCATTAAACAGCAGTAGTACTACCACCTAAGACAGATCCCTGGTAGTTCCTATTTGTAAACAAGCTCTCGGGGATCTGTCATTTGTGATTGGAGTAGCAGCAGGTGAAGACTTTCATGCAAGGATGGCCGTTGTAGCAGCGGGTTGGACAGTATTCATTGTGAGTGACATGGATCTACGCCTCATAATGTGATTGGCATTGTATTTACCTGGTGGGGCATTTATTTTTTATTTTATTAAATTCTTTTTCAATGAAGGACAATAAAGGACTTTCATGGTGTGGGTATTATTATTTACTATTTAAATTTTTTTGTGAATTAGTAAGTAAGGAAAAATAGGGGGAAAAAAGGGGTTTGTAGAGAGATAAATGCACCCAATGCATATGTAAAAGTTCAATCAGAATTTATTAGACATTGAATAGATAAAATAAAATTGGATCTCATTATTAAATAAAGACTACGTATTCGCAAATTTAGCTTCTTCAGGGGTCCGGTACATGATAATCATGCATAAGCAGTGCCTGAGGTAAAAACAAATGTGTGGAGGACCGAGATGATTGGGTGACTGGAAAACCGCAAACCCCCACATTCCGTCCCTTGTTCTGCTTGGGACCCCGGGGCATCAGGGGGAGGAGCGCATGGGAAGCTTCATGAAAGCCCAGGCTGCCCTGCTGGGATGTTTCTATAGAAGGCATCTAGTAAGGAATGGCCTCCTTCCAGTAATGTAGTGGTCCTAATTCCTCAACCTATTGGAAAAGAGGATAGGATATTTCTAAGAATTGTAGTCCACAAGTTTTATTTTAGTCTGTGAATTAGTAAAAAGGGCGACTAAGTACTATGTACCCCTTACTACTCATCTGGGGTGAAAGCGGATATCTGCGCCCCCCTAATTCTAAAGGAAGTCCTCCATGCAAACCCCCTACATCCTTTTTGAGGGAAAAGGAAGTGGAGATAAGGTCCTTGTATTCATTAACACGGGGAGGATGAGATGGGGCAGGTGGATTCTAGACTCTCCTTTCAATATTGCCTGCAGCTCTTCTCAATGTATATAGGCATCCTTGCACTTATCACCATAATGTTTTTAACTAAAATGGACTTAATTATTACTTACTACATACAATATCACCATCTTCCTATGACCTCCTGAAGAAGTGGGCCATTGGTCCAAGAAAAGCGTAGAGTTCCATGCTATATCCTCCCACCATATCCTAGCTAATATTTTGGGTAACATCTTATAAGAATTAATTTCTTCATGTTTGTATATTTGATCATATATTGATAACTTGGTGGGTTGAAACTAGGAGGAGACTAGGAGATATTTAAAACGATAAGATGCTGTATGAGGTGAAATTAAGGTCAATTTCAGTCTGTGTTTTTTTTTTACTTTTTGCAATAAAAACTTACTGTATTAAATATCTTAATAGGCACTTGGTGGTTGATTTATACAAAGTATCTTAAAACTTCATCCATCAGTGTTACTCAGCCACCAATCAAACTGTTTTATTTCATCCAGTGCATGTTGTCATCACATATTTAAAGTAACTGGTCATCCAGATTTTATTTAAATGCAATAAAACATTATTAAAGTGCAACATTACTTTTATTGAAAACTACAGAGTACAAATAATAAAAGTGTTTTATATAGATATATATATTAGTTGAGTATGACATAATGTTTTCAGATCTAGGCTGATGTGTACACAATGAATGCTGTCCCTCAAACTCCCCACTTTGTATATACGCAAAAAGTATAAAAGCTCCTCAAACTCCTCACTTTTTTTCTTCTCCAAAATGTCCATCTTTTTCCCCTCCAAACTTTATACATCCTAAACTTCCCACTTTTGTTCTTCCATGCATACCTCAAAAGTGAGGTCTTTGTTTTCAATAACACTTTGAATTAGATTATAATGTGTTGAATTTTTGCTGTATGCAGCACAACAGCATACACTCTCCTTCAGGTCCTCATTCTGTAATGGCACTAAAGTTGCGGTACTTATGCAGCCCATAGAATCCTCTCCTTCCATTCCCTATAACTAATTAGGATGATGGCACTGGGAAAACAGTGTCTGGATATGTCTGGATACAACGAGACTGAATTACTGAAGGGGTTGAGACTCTTCAATGAAAAATGTGTAAATATTTACTTCAAGTATCCAATTATGTAAAAAGCAAATTCCTGTTCACTTTGAATACCCAATAATGTGCAGATGACTTTTGGATGATTGGATAAATATAGTGACCATTCAAGCAAGATTCTCCACTCCTTTGGTAAACTAGCCCTGGCACATTCAAAATCCCCCCTCCCCAACACACACACACAAGGTTTTCTGCACGCCTAATTTTGTTTGAAACCCACATGTTGCACACCCTGGATAGATACTGTGCATTGTTCTATTACATTATTAAGGTGCAAACATCATCTTCATATTTGAGCATTTTATAGATACCATTGACTATGATTAATTCTTGGTGTGAGATTTCCTGTGTTTAAAAAAAAAAAGATCTTTAGCGTTGGAAGTTTGCAAAATAGCAAATGATTCATTCTTAAAATGTTGGATTTTCATGGCAGCCCCCTTATAAATACAGTATTTGTTGAAAAATTGGATCAGTAAAAAGTTTTATAAAAAACAATTTCTGCAAACTGACTCTAGAGTCACATAACCT